TCTCGGGATCGGGTAATCCAGGGGCGTCCCCTAGAGTCTAGACAATACCTGGTTTCCCACTGATACACAAATATTTCCCTACACACGTCTCTTGACCTCACACTTTCTGCCCTACAAATCCTCCTGAAACTTCTTAGAAAGGTGTGTACTCTGCTCTCACTGTCTCTACCTTCGCACCACCCACTGGCACACTCCTCAGCCCACTGAAACATGGCTTCCATCCCAGCTCCTCGGAGTCCCCGGTGATGGCCTTGTCAAATCCACACCTCAGTCCTTAAATGACTTGACCTCTTTGTAGCCCCTCCTCCACTGCCCCACAATTTCTGTGACTGAATTCTTCAGGTTTTTCTCCTATTTCTCTGACTGCTCTTAGTTTACCTTGGGAATGTTCTTCCTCTTGAATTTTGTCCACTCCTGAGACTTCCATCCTAGGCTGCCTCTTCTTACTCTCTCCATTTCCACTGTGTGGTCTCATGGCATCCACAATCTTATTTACCATCAGTCTTCTCACATCGTTTACTTCTTCACAGATTTCTCCAAAGTTTCAGATCTATGTATCCAACCACCTACATGCCATCACCTCTGCGATGTGTCATCGGCATCTCAACCTATCCCAAATGTGTTCTTCCTCTCCCTCCTCCTCCCAACTGGCTCCTTCTCCTGAGTTCTCAAGATCAGTCCATGGCATCCCCGTCCCCACCACTGCTAGGCCAGAAACCCAGATGTCACCCTTCAAGCCTTCTTCTCCCACACGCCCCATGATTAATCATTCAGTAATTTCTGCAGATGGTGCTTCCCAAATATCTCTGGAATTTGTCCCCTGGTCTCAATACCCACTGCAGTTGCCCGAGTACAGGCAGGCTTATGATTTCCTCTGTGTTACTGCGCCTGCGCCCTAATAGTCTCTCTGCTTCCAGTTTGCCCAAATCCAGTCCATTTCCCATACTCAAGGCAGAACGATCACTAAAACCACAACCACCACACCCTTCAATGGCTCTTATTCTTCTTAAAATTAAGTCCAAGAACATCAACAGAGCTCTGAATGGTCCAGCTCCTTGTCCTGTGGCTGTAGTGGAGGGTGCTGGGCCTGTAACAAAGCACAGACAGGGCCACAGAGGCCCCATCCCAGCGTGGGGATGCAGGGAGATCCTCAGAGGCAGAGATGAGCCAGTATTAATGTGTTTCTTTATTCACCCAGCAAAGAGAATCAATGTGGACTATTTCAAACAAACAAAGAAACCAAAGGGTTTGGGTAAGTAGGGCTTTTCCAGAGAAATACACACGAATTGATAGAATTTTTATATATCAGCGATAGACCACTTAGACAATTCAGTGGGGAAAAGGATTTACAATGGCAAAGAAAAATATTAAAAAGGTTAGGAATTAACTTAAGTAAAATGTGAGACAGGTAAAAAAAATTCTATAAAATTCTATTGAGAGATACAAAGAAAGATTTGAAATCTGGGTAAATAAGGCAAAGATATTACTGTGCTCTGTTGGAGTGGAGGGAATGAAAATAGAGAAAAAAAGAATTTCTTGTTTAATGGGGAGGTCCCCTGTCCTAACTGTGAAGTCTATTTATCTGCTAAATACTGTCAACCTGGATCAAACCGGGAGAGGATCCTGAGTCATCTGCCAGATACAACATGGAACACTCAGTTAAACTTGAATTTCATGCAATATTTGGGACATACTTATACTGCAAATCTCTTCATTTATCTGAAATTCAAATTTAACCGAGCGTTTTGCTTTATTTCTCTCTTCTCCATCTGGCAACCCCAGCTGTGACCCAATCTACACGGCCTCGAACCTGAGCAGGTGACAGTTCTCTGGACTGCTGAAAGGCCTGTGCAATCCTCCTTGTTTAGAGCAACGTGTTCAAGGGGAATAGAAGGTCATGGAGGAAGCAGGAATGACCTCACAGACACTCATTTTAAACCTGGAGGACAGCGGGGGAACGAAGCTAGCAAAGAACTGGGCAGACATGCCAACTTTTGTATTTATTTGTGGACTTTTAGAAAGAGAAATACAAGAAAACACACAAAAGCAATATGTACACATCGTGGAATATTATAAAGCCATGAAAACAAAAATCTATAGGTGTTGATATGGAATGACTCTCCAAATACAGTAAGTGCAAATAGGCAAGCTGCAGAACAAGATCCATATCATGATTTGCTTAATTCTTTCCCTCTTGATGGACACTTAAGTTGTTTTCAGCTTTTTGCAACTACGTACAATTCTGTAATGAATATTTGTGCATGTGTGGCTTGATAGACATTAGTGAATAAACCTGTGGGATAAATTCCTATGAATAAAATAGCTGAGTTAGAGATCTGTGCATTTTTCCAATTTTGATGGGATTATCAAAGAGGTTGTAACAACACTCTTCTCTAAATATGTTAATAAATGCCAACCCCAACCCCAACAATAGGTATTGTCAATTTTTTATCTTGAGCAATCTGATTGGCAGACTGGGCAAATTGATCACACGTGACCTGGACCCTCAGGTAGAGGAGATTGCTGCAGATGCGGGGGATGAAGGAGAGAGAGGAGAAGAAGGGGCAAAAGTGACTCTGCAAATCAAAGAGCCACTAGGCAGGTGATTCTGTGTACGCTGAGAACAGACAGGACACTGCCCTCAGTGGCGGGAGGGGGACGTCCAGGCCGCAAATCTGCTCCAGCTCACAGCCCCTCCCAGCCCCCTCTCCTCCTCACACTACACTTTGGCAAATACCAACTCTTATTCAAAAGAGAAGCAGCACCTTCAATAGCTTGTAGGTTAAAAGAAAAGAAAAGAATAAGCAAAAGGCAAATAAAACATATCTCATGAGGGAAAAGATCCAAAGAAACAGAAAAATAAGCTCATATAAATAGTTCTATTCAGTCTCAAGGAAATGATAGACAATGGGATTTATCTAAATAAACAAACAGAGCATGATACCAAATACAGAGATGAAAAGCGAGCAGCAGGTCTCGGGAAAGAAATGGAACAGGAGAGAGAGAGCCGACACTGCTGGGAAGAAGGAAGCAGGGGCTAGAAGCACAACCCAGCGATCCGCGTGACTGGAAACCCAGAGATTGGCGACTTTCGGGAATTACATAAAATGAAGTTTAAAGGAACATGATAGAAAAATGCTTGGAGAGGCAGACGTAGCTACAGGAGCCAGAGAAAGGCGATTCCACTAGCGCACACTGGCTGTTCTCTAAGAAGAGAAAAAATAGGCCAGAAGTAAAAATGATTTAATTGAATTAAAAACTATCCTGAGATAAAGAGATCTTGCAATCCGCAATGGAAAACCCACGCAGTGTCCCAGGAAAAAACCTGATATTGAGGATTCACACCTAGAATATTCTAAAGTTACAGAACTTCAAGGATACAGATAGAGTCAGATGAGCTCATGTCAGAAAAGCTATCAAGTCAGAAAGAGTAATCGTGTGCACGAAGGAAAGAGGCTCCCCCAGAGGCCACAGCAGCACCGCATCCCAGAAGACAGGGAAAATCCACACGTTCTGAGGAAAAGACAGGACAGTCCAGGAATTTTGCACAAGGATTGTTGTTTTTCAAGAAAATTCCAGTAACAAATGTCCTTATGTGTATAACAACTTATAAAATACAGCACCCACGGCCCTTTAAAAATAGAAAAACTACATCATGATGAAATTTTACCAACAAAGGAATAAGTTAAATAATGAAAAAAAAAGCAGCTATGGTGAGCAATGAATATTTAAAAATAGAAAAAAGACTAAATGACCATGGAAAATATTTACAGAAGCAAACACAAATATCATAAATTCAAAAACTACTATACTAACAAAATCAGGGCTGGGAAGAGGAGGGTGGGCAAAGGGTAAGAAGCTAAAGTCCTCATCTTTTAGGGCACGGAGTCAACAGATAGTTTAAATGTGCTGTTAAAACTAAGGTGATGACAGCGGGGCACAGGGCCCAAGCAGAGCGCAGAGGGCGTCCAGGTGAGGGGCCGCTGGGCCTCACGTCAGGGCCTGAGCACGGTGAGGACCGGCCCCTGCGTGTCCTACGCTGCTCCGCCTGGCCTGGGATGAGGCTGCTTCTCCTGCGCCTGGTGGGCTGTCCCTCTGCTCTAGCGGCCTCCCGTTTTGGTCTGGAAGCTGCCCAGAGGTAAAAGTGCAGGAGAGGAACTTGAGAGGAAGGAAGCAGTTGTCCCTGTCTCTTTACAGAGTGGCTCCCTGGTGTCCGACTCCCTTCCTCCACAATTAACCATAGGAAAAGCTTACATCCACATCGGGAGATCTTACCTAGGGCTCTTTGGAAGGATCAGGAGACGTCTCCCAGCCTCAACCCTCCCCCAGCCACCCCTCGCTCCCACTTGCCAGATCTGTTCCAGCTCCAGCGTCTGATTGATGGATTACTCCGCAGTCCCCAAAATGCATGGGTTATCTCCCTGTGTACCCCAAATGAGAGTGGCAGCCAGACGGAATTCTCTCAAAAGAGGCAAGAAAATTGAGAGGTATTAACAGGAAGGGTTATGGTGACAACGAGGGCATGAGATGCCATCTCATCTTCAGGTGTGCAGCGTCCGGGAGGCGAGGGAAGGAGGGGAGCCAGGCTTTCCTTCCCCACAAGTGGCAAAAGTGCATCAGAGTGGGGATCCCCGAGTCTTCTGTCCACTTGTGGATTCAGGTCTTCACTGTGGTTGGCACATTACCTGGGTTTAGTTCAGTTTTTCTATTTTCGTGGGGTCTAGAGGTTTGAAACTCATTATTGGCTGAAGCCCTGAACCCCACAGAATGCAAAAGAAAGTCCATTAACATTGTAGGTAGCTCACAGACTTGAGATTATATATGTCCTCAAAGGCATTTGTCTCTACTTGTATTTTCTACTGCACTGAAGGTCTCAGGAAGAAGGATGGCCAGGGCTTTACAGAGAAGAAGGCAACCAGAGCGAGTCCCAGAGGCCCAGGCATCTCAGCTGTAGATTCCTGGGGACTGGGGGACTGTTTCCTGAAGCAGGGGCCCATGTTGCCTCTAGAACCACAGTCACTGCTGACCACAGCCATTTCCTGATAAAAACTTCTTTTTCTTCTGTTTGAGGGTCTTTCTTTCTGGACAAGACATCGATGAGCTACTGGTTCTCGTGACCGAGCTGACTCTGCATCCCCCCAGAGTTTCTCTGAGGCCTGTTCACCCAGAGGACAGCACCGAGCATGCTCAAGAGCAAGGGCACCTCCAGGAAGACCAGGAGAAGGAAGTGGACGCTGCTGAGCAGGGACCTGGGGGAGGGACATGGTGACAGGAAATAAGCTGCCTCCCAGGCCCCCTCTTCCCAGCTCTTCCTGTGCCCAGGTCCTGGGTTCCCATAAGCTATGTGAGGGCAAGCCTGGGACCCCAGGCTGACAATGGCCTCCACTCCCCCAAACTCTCCTTCCTCACTTCTTATTGGTCTCACCCTTGCTTGCTCTACTGGGAGGGACAGGACTGGTGTCCTTAGAAGAAGAAGGAGAGATTAGGACATAGACACACATGAAGGGGAAACCACGTGCAGACGCAGGGAGAAGAGGGCCGTCTACACGCCAACGACAGAGGCCTTAAAGGAACCAACCCTGCCACCACCTTGATCTCAGACTTCTGGCCTCCAGAACTGCGTGAAAATTAGTGTCTGTGGTTGAAGCCGCCCAGCCTGTGGTACTGTGTTAGGGCAGCCCGAGCTGACTAATACAAGGACTTATTCATCACTATTAACAGAAATCTGTAGAATATATTCATCAACCAATTAATTAATTAACTCTATTTGGTACATTAATTATCTCTCAAGTATAAGTACGTGGAGGGTGGAGAGCTTGATTATTTTGCTCATTACAGTATCCTCTCATATTCCTTAACACAGTCATGGGCATGAGTGGGTGCTCAAGAATGATTTTTGAATAAATGAATGAATTATCCATCTCATGCTGATCAAAAACCCTAACTGGTATTTACACATGGCTTTGATTCATAAAATGAGGATACTCCTTAGCTATTACTAGTGAAGAGCAATTTGGTAGAAAGAAACTTTCAAAACAGAAGACAAATGGGAGAGGGGAAGGAAAAGGGTTCTCTGGGCGTAGAAAGATTGGGGATGCCCCCTAGCGATTCTGTGGGAAGGCCCAGCAACAGGAGATCATGGCAGATCTAGAAACAAAGTCAAGAGGGCCAAGGAGAGTGAAGGGAGAGAATGAAAGGGCCCCTCAGCTTCTAGAAAGTGCCCTTGGCAATGGCTGGGCAGGGCACTAAGAAGCATGAGCGAGGCTCAGCTTCTCCCTCTGCTAAATGGGAGCAGGCGCGTCTGCCCGTGGCTCCTCACGAGGTAGGGTAGGCCAGGTCAAAGAACTAACAGGATAATGGACAGGAAAGCCCCCTGTGTGCTGCCAGGTGCTACAGAGATGAGAACTATCGGTATCACTCTTCTCGCCATAACAGTAATCAGGGGAAACAGGTCTTCCCTAGGCCCTCCCTGTTCTCCCAGAATTTGTACCAAGAGCCACCCCTGTCTCCCCACGACCCCTGTGCCCACACACACTGGCCGTGCCATCCACATTGACTGCCTGCTTGTCTGTGTCCCACACTGAGCACTCGATCTCTGAGCTCCATGGGGGAGACTCCATGTCTATGTTCCCAAAGCTCGACACGGTGCCGGCCGTGGAGAAGTTCCTCAGCGCAGGTGGGACGGATGAATGAATGAACCAACAAACCTACAAACTGCATGAGCTCCAGCATGAAGGATCTGGGGGTGCTCCAAGGACACTGTGCCGCCTGAGAGCAAGTGGGAAGAGCCCCCCGGCATCGTCAACCTCCCAAAGGAGCCTGAGGGTCCAGAGACAAGCTCTGGCTGGGACCTGGGACCACAAAGCATCTCCCCATTTGAGCAGTTTGGGCCAAGTGGGCACAGGGAACAGCAGTATCAGAGCTGGCTTACCTGCTGTTGGAGGGGTGGCTGGTCACAGTTGGGGAGACTTGGGTCTCTTCTGGGGTGACTGGTGCTGTGGACGTGGTGTTGGTGGTGGGGGTGTCCGACACTGTAGTTGGTGCTGGGCACACAGACCAGATTACACACTACTCTCCCTGCTAACCCACCTGCAGCCCTGCACGTGGCTCTGAGCCTAGGGGCTGAGGGCTGCCCTGGCCTGAGGAGCCTGGAGCAGGGCCGTGAGGAGGGGCCTAGAGCCTGGACCGCTCACATCTCCCTGGCCTCTAGGAGACGCACAGCCTCAGAGGCAGGTGGGGCTGGGCACAGGTCCAGGGAGGATGTCAAGCAGGCCCTAGGAGGGCTAGAGGGGGCCCAGGATTGCTCAGGACAAGGAGCTGGAGTTCAGCTGGACTTGAAACACTCCTGCTGCTTATGACAGGGCCTCGGCCAGTGCCTCCCCCTCTCTTATTTATCCAGCAAGGACAGGACCAGAATGGGGCTTGCCTGGCGGCTAACGCACCCAAGATCTGTGATCTCTAAGGTCAGGACCAGCCCTGGACAAAATCATGAGGTTCAGGAAGAGCCTTTACTTGGGGCAACTTATTAAACTTCCACGATGGGGACAGTTACTTCTCAGGAATGTTGTCAGGATTTCATGAGACAATGGCCGAGCTGCGCCTTGCCAGTGCAACAGGCCTCACAGGTTCCAGGGGTGGTGGGGGCTCTGTTGACGTGTGCCCCCTCCTTGCCACAAGTGCACTGTGAGCTGGTGCTGCCTGTCCAAGGGTCAGCAGAAGCAGCGCCCAACAGATAAACTCGTGCAAACTGAGGCCCTGCGACCTCTGAGCTGCCCCTCCCACGAGTGCTTGCATTCTAGAAGGACTTAGGAAGAGAACATCACTAAGTCCAGATGTGTGAAAGGCTCATGATGGGATGTCAGGCACCAGGAACAGCCCTTTGACGGTGGAGGCCTTTCCAGACCTCAGGAATTAACCACAGAGCCCCGACTGTGCTGGGCCTCTTTCCCCCTGAGATTGGATATGGAACAGTGGTGGGAACAGAAGCTATGAAGTCCCAGGCCCAAACTCCACAAAGAGCAGGGACACCTGGGCACCAGAGGTCCCAGGAAAGCACTGGCAGGTATTGGGGTCTCTGGGTCCCATGGAATGGGGTCCCTTTGGCCCATGGACTGAAACCGAGACCATCACCTTGATCTCTAAGGGCAATACACTCAGGCATTGAGCTGTGCAGAGAAAAAAACTGTGCCCAGAAAGGCTTGATCCCTTCCTGGAGGAGGCCCTGGAAGCCACGAGAGCATCTAAGAGAAGCCCAGCCCCTCCCAGGACTCAACCACCCTCTGTGACAACTCTCTCTGAGTGACGGTTAAGTCACTGGAGAGGGACCTCAGGGACCAGGACAGAGCAGGCCCTGAAGAGACACATCCACACATCACACCCTTACCTGGGTCAATGGTCACTTTAACTTTGTCCCCCAGGTCCACTCCGGTTCTCTCAATCCCACACCAGTAAGTGTCCGCATCATCTTGTCTGAGCTCCTCCATGGTCACGGTGAACACGTGGTCTCTCTGATTGTCCATGATCGACACACGGCCCTGCTTCACCATCTGCTCTGACCCAGTGGTTTTAACAAGGATCGTGCAGAGATTCCAATCAGCTCCTCGACACCACCACTTCTTGTAGGTCTCCCACCCTTGGCCATAGCGACACTGCACAGTCAACGAGCCCCGCTCCAGGCCGCTCACTGCTTTTGGACCCCTGATGGCAGATAAACCTGGAAAACACAAATCGGGTACCTGTTATCTCCCACCCTGAGGGAGGGCCACAGCCTCCTGCATTGCAAATAGCTCCAATAAATCCCAGGGCCTGTCGAGTTGAATAGCAGTTGAGGAAGGAATACACCTTCCACAAGATAGATCTTTTGTCCTTTAAAATTCTACTGGGTCAAACCACCAGGAAAATCACCTATGAGCACAACTACAGATCTCAAAGAAACAAAAATATTGACACTGAGCAATAATAGCTTCCTGTAATTCACCCGCTCCCCTTCTCTATAGCCAATAAAACTTTATATTTCAACCAATGTCCTTTTGCAGCCATCTCTGTTATGCTGGTCTGATGGGGAGGAAATAACCGAGGGCCCATTTCCCCAGGAGGATGATCGCTTCCCTGACTTTGTATCAATGACCTCAGGAGGTCCGGCAGAAACATCCACATCTCATGGCTGTGGTGAGGCTGTTCCTAGTGGCTCTGATGGCTTCTAGTGGTTCTATAGTAAACCACCCTGGCAAGAATGCCTTTGAAGTTGACCAAAACAGTGGTGCCAACTGGCCTCCATGTACTATGGAATCCATGTCACACAATCCCATTTTCTTCCCATTGAATTGCTTTGGTTCCCTTGTCAAAAAGTAAATATGTGAGTTATTTATGGATTTTCCATTCTGTTCCATTGATCCATTTGTCTATCCTTATGCCAGTCCATACTGTCTTGAATACTATAGCTTTGCTATAAGGCAGGTATTATAGAGTGAAGCAGAGTTTTCTTATAACGTGCTTTTCTTGTTCTTTCGTTCATTTTCTCACCTTTGAAAGAATCAGGATACAGAGAAATGCTTCTTTACTGTGGGAAAAACAACACTTCAAGCACGATAACAAATGGCAGCTTGGGCCAGCCCTGGTGGCCTAGTGGTTAAGTTCGGCAAGCTCTGCTTCGGCAGCCCGGGTTTGGTTCCCAGGCACGGACTTACACCACTTGTCTGTCAGTGGCCATGCTGTGGTGGCGGCTCACGTACCAAAAGAGGAAGATTGGTAGTGGATGTTAGTAGCTCAGGGTGAATCTCCCTCAGCAGAAAAAAAAAAGTGTCACTGATTGTATTGTATATTTTCGAGTGTTTTCACGTCACCAGTTAGCATCTTTTCATGTCAGCTTGAAGAATTCCTTTCAGCATCTCTTGTAAGGCAGGTCTAGAGGTGATGAATCCCCTTAGCTTTTGTTTGTCTGGGAATATCTTTATTTCTCCTTCATTTCTGAAGGATAACTTTGCCAAATAGAGTAGTCTTCACTGGCAATTTTTTTCTTTCAACACTTTGAACACATCATTTCACTCTCTCCTTGCCTGTAGGGTTTCTGCTGAGAAATCTGCTGATATCCTAACAGGGGGTCCTTTGTAGGTTACCATCTTTTTCACTCTTGCTGATTTTAGGATTCTCTCTCTGTCTTAGATTTTTGACATTCTTACTGTAATGTTTCTTGGAAATGGTTGCTTTGCACTGATTGAGATAATGGGGTGATCTATTAGCTTCTTGAACTTGGATGTCCAAGTCTCTCCTAGGTTTGGGAAGTTCTTGGCTATTATTTCTTGAAATAAACTTTCTGCCCACTTCTCCCTCTCTTCTTCTGGAACTCCAGAGATTCTGATATTTGTTCTTTCAATGGAGTCCCATAGTTCACCTAGGCTTTCTTCACTTTTTCGTTGTTTTTCCTTTGTTCTCCTCTCACTGGGTTATTTCAAAGTTCCCATCCTCTAGCTCACTGAGTCTACCTTCTGTTTGGTCTATTCTGAGGTTGATACTCTCCATTACATTTTTTTTTTCATTTCATTCATTGAATACTTGAGTTCCAGAATTCATTTCTTCTTTTTTTGTTTTTAAATTTTTGTGTGTGTGAGGAAGATTAGCCCTGAGCTAACATCTGTTGCCAATCCTCCTCTTTTTGTTGAGGAAGATTGGCCCTGGGCTGACATCCATGCCCATCTTCGTCTACTTTATATGGGATGCCGCCGCAGCATGGCCTGACAAGCACTACATTGGTGCGTGCCTGGGGTCCAAACCTGTGAACCCTAGGCTGCTGCAGGAGAGTGCACACACTTAACCGCTACGCCACCAGGCCGGCCCCTCATTTCTTCTTTTTTATAATTTCCGTGTCTTTATTAAATTTCTCATTTTGTTCACTTATTGTTTTTCTTATTTCATTTAATTGTCTTTCTGTGTTCTCTTGTGGCTCATTGATTTCCTCAAAACAGGCATTTTGAATTCTTTATCAGGTAAATTGTGAAAATCCATGTCTTTGAGTTCAGTTACTGGAGGATTATTGTCATCTTCTGGCAATATCATGTTTCCTTGGAGTTTTGTGTTGCTGTTTTCACATTTGAAGTAGCATCATCTCCTCTAATCTTTACTAGTTGCCTTCAAGTGGGAGATATGTTTCTTTTTCCTGCTTATATCTGGGACTTTCTCCAGTCTTGTGTGGATGTACCTGCTCCTTGCTTCTTGCTCCCTCTTGGGGCAGATCTCTTAAGCATATGTGTTCTCTTGATCTTATAACTCGCCAGCCTGGTTGCCTGAAACCTCTCTTTTGTTTTCTCACAAGTGGCACTACAGTTCAAGTTTGTGCTTTGTCGCTTCTCTTCAGACACCAGCCTGTTTCCTGAGTGCACTCCCTTTCTACTGGAACCACTACCGCACTCGGGAGCATGCACGAGGAGCCAGCTGCAGAATGGGAGAAGGTGTGGATTTAGCACTTGGGACATTTGGAGTACCCATGGTCCAGGTGGTGGGATTCTCAGGTGAGGGTTTCCTAGCAGCTTGTGAGCTGACTTCGTGCAGAGTCCTGAATGCAGTCAGCAGGAACCACTTCCCTCTAATGCCCTGTGACATTCTTATCTGCCTCTGTCTCCATCTCTTCCTTCCCCACAGTCATGGAGCTTCTGCCTCAACACTGGGTGCTGCAGGAGAGAAACGGGTTCCTAAGGCAGCATCCTGCACAGCTGGGGAGCAAGGCACTCACTCACTGCTCTCCCTTTCCCTATATGTCTTGACATGAGTACAGCCATGTTTGGCCGGTCCATGAACCTACAGCCACCAGCACACAAAGAAATATAAAGCAGCTTTCTGTGTGGTGGGAACTGGCCCTTCTCCCACAGAGATAGTTGCAACTTGTAAGATTACAAGATTACGTCCACGGGCGTCATAGCCTGGGACGGACTGGCCATCTGTGGAGCTCAATGCACGTACACAACTGATAACCATTTGTACGTGAAGACACCAAATGCTTACTCTGGAAATTACTCATACTATATAAGCTGCTGGAAACTGGGGCCTGATGAGAGTCTTGCCTGTGGGGGGGACGCCTTGCCCAGGACGTCTTTCGATTGGCACTCCCGCCTAGCCGTGTCACTTAAAGGGACTCTCCCCGATGTAAGGGCGTGGATGTTGTAAGTACCCAATCTGATGTTTCTCTCTCGATCGATCTGATGTTTCTCTCTTTGATCGATCTGGTGTTGTCTCTTCTTTTTATTGACCTATTCGGATCTATTTGCTGACTTTCACTTTTACCCTTCTCTATATAATAAAGTGTGCATTCAGTCCATTCGTTTGGGTTGGAAAGTTCCTTTTTACGCCTCCGATTGAATCCATCGAACCTCTTACAACACCATAGGAGAAGTTGCCACTGACCAGTTCAGCCCCATCCTGTGCCACCTTGGGGACGAGGTGGCTCTAGCCAAGTTCCTCTTACCTTCTCCATGCATCCAAACACATATTTTTGTTGTTCCAGTGCAATGCTGAGACCTCTTTTCCAGAATCCTGGATTTGTACAAAGGTTCTCTCATCCATGAGTGTCTGCCCAAGTCAGCACTCTCCAGGTTTTCCCTGACTGTGGCTGAGAGGTGCAGGGGCCAGTTCACTGGCTCCTGCTCTTCTGCAGCCCCTAGCGAGATCTGTCTGCCTACTTCTCAACGCACAGGTGGGTGAGACTCCTCCCAAGTTCCTTGGTGGATGGTGCTGGACGCCACAGCTCTCACAGACGCACTACTGTTCGTTGATGGATGCCAAATTTTAGTTGTTAAAAAGCAGGGACAAAAAGGAGGGACCTCTTATGCTGCCATGATGCTGATATCACTCTGTCTTGAATCAACATTTTATAGCTTTAAATGTATATATTAGGAAAGAAAAAAGGGCTTAAATTTAATAAGTGAAACATCTATTTCAAAAGTCAAAAAAATAACAAGAAGTAGTAGTAGAAGAACAAGAAGAAAATAGAAGGAAGGAAATAGTGAAGAAAAGAACAAAAATTAATGAAGTAGGAAATAAAAGGAAAATACAGAAGACCAACAAAGCCAACAATTGTTTTAAAAGAAACCGCTAACAAGATATTCATGGTAGAAAGAGAGGAGGTCTAACTAATCAACATCAGGAATGAAAAGAGAGACACCACCACAGATCCTGCACAGATAAAAAGATAAGAAGAAGATAAAATAATATGGGGATAAGATAATAAAAGGATATATAAACAAGTTTATGCCAATAAATTTGAAATTCTAGATGGAATAACGAGTTCCTAAAAAAATTAGCACAGAAAGAAATAGAAATCCTGAATAATCCTAGAACTATTTAAATAAATCAAATGCATTACTAAAAAATTCCACAAAAGAAAACTGCAGGCCTATACAGCTTCAATGGAGAGATCTACTAAACATTTAAGGAAGAAATAATGTCCATCTTATACAAAAAATTGTGGAACAAAGGAAAAGAGGACGCAATCTCAAATCTATTTAATGAAACTAGCATAATCTTGATGCCAAAACCTGACAAGGACAGTGCAAGAAAGAAATATTATAGCTGAATGTCACTCATGAACATAAATGCAAAAGTCTGAAAACAAAAACCAGCAAGCAGAATCCAGGCATACATAAAAAAGGTGATACATTATCCCCAAGTCAGATTTATGCCAAGAATACAAAATTGTTTGGATATTAGAACACCAATAAGTGTAATAACAGTATGCCATATTAACAGAAGAAAGGAGAAAAATCATATGATCATCTCAATAGATGCAGACAAAAGTATTTGACAGAATTCAACACTCATTCAGGATTTTTTAAAAAGTCTTAGCAAAATAAGCATAGAACTTCCTTTATCTGATAGGGATTATCTATCAAAAGCTTCAGTTAATACAATTAATGTGAGGCATTGGTGTGTATTTTATAATAATGTGTTAACCTGGACATTGATGTTTTATGCACTTTTCTGTACATGTGTTATTTTCCACAATTTAGAAAACTTGTATGAATATTATAAACCAACAGCCAATTATGCTGAACAGTAAAATACTACAGGCATTCCAATTGAATCATGAGCAAACATGAGTTCCCAATATATACAGTAACCTGACTCTGCAAGTTCTGTCCAATGTCGCGAGATACAGAAAAATATAAAACTTATACTTATTGAAAAAAAATGACAATATTGAGAAACAATTTTAAAATCTTAAATTAAAAACTGTTTTAGTTCAGAATTGAAGTTAATAGAGTGGCTAAACAAACAATAAATATATAAAAATCAGTGACTTTCCTATAAACCAGTAATAAACACTGAAAAATAAAGTAGAAAACAGCTCATTCATATAGCAATAGGAGTCTATTAAGTACCTAGGAATGACCTTGAGAGAAACAATCAAGACTTGTGTAAAAACACAAACAATGAAATTTTACTGAGAGACATAAAAGGTTTAAACAAAAGAAAACATATATTATATAGATCCTGAATGAAAATGAGATATATTGTAAACATTCTGCTTCCCAAATGAATTTATAGATTTGGCGCAATCAAAATCAAACCAGCAAACTATTTTAGAACATATATATAATCCACATATATAAAATGTATATATATTACATACATATATATAATACTATATATTATATATAATATATACATATATGTAATCTAGAGATTATTTGAATAGATGAACAGGTGAGAATTTTCAGCATTTTAAAAATAAGTAATGAGGAAAGACTTGCTCTGCTAGACTTTAAAGATTTTATTTATTTATTTTTCCCCCAAAGCCCCAGTAGATAGTTGTCTGTCATAGCTGCACATCCTTCTAGTTGCCGTATGTGGGACGCGGCCTCAGCATGGCCAGAGGAGCGGTGCATCGGTGCGCGCCCAAGATCCGAACCCGGGCCGCCGGCAGCAGAGCGCGCGCACTCAACCGCCAAGCCACGGGGCCCGCCCTCTGCTAGACTTTAAAACAGTATCAGGCCATAATAAAGAAACCAGCTTGGAAATCTAGTGAGAATAGATAAACATATCAACAGAATAGTCAATAGCCTAAAAACAGGCCTGGTCTATTGAAGAAGTTCACACGCACCACAGAAGACTAAAAAGCTAAGTGGGGGAGGGGAGGGTCAGGACGCTGTCGCCTCTCAGCGAGCTCCATAGGTAAATTCAGGGAGATTAGGGAGGTCAGCATAAAACAGCAAATCATTCTTTAAACTAGAAGAAGATAGAAGTGAATCTTTATTAAAATCTCTGGATCAAAGGGAGAACTTTTTCTAAACTTAAAATTAATGAACGACATCACACAGGAGCCAGAAATCTGAGAGTATACAAATGTAACACTTGGACATACCAATAAAAAGACTGAATGTAGGCAGCCTCCAGAAGCTGGAAACAGCAAGAAAACAGACCATCCTAGAGTCTCCAGAAAGAACGCAGTCCTGCCAACACCTTGGTGTTAGCTCAGCATGACTCATTTTGGATATCTGATCTCTGAATTGTAAGAGAATAAATTTGTGTTGTCTTAAATTAAAAAAAAAAGACTGAAAAGGCAAAGAACCAATTGGGAGAAATATTAAGAACGAATAATACAGGTAAGAATTAACATCTTTTCTCTTGATAAAGAGTATATACAAGAAAAACATTAAGATCCCATTTAGAAAATTGATGAGATAAGAAGAGGCAAGTCACGAAGAGGAAATTCAGGCAGATAATAAAATTCAAAATGTTAAATCTAAATAATCTAGTTGATAAAATATGTTGAAGACAACGCCATTTTTCTCGTATCAAACCAAACAAGTGTTAACATATCGCTGACGCGGGTGAGGGGGTGGGCACAGGGAGAAGCTGCTGGTGGGAATGTAAGTGGTTCAGCCCTTACAGAAGCAATACGGCAGTTGTATGTACCAAAAATATTCATGACCTTTGCTCCAGTAATTATGTTTATAGGATTTGGTCCTCAGGAAAAAATCAGAGAGGCTAACAAAAATGTGTGCACAAAGATTCATTACATAATATTTATAATAGCAAAAACAAAGAAAACAGGTTAACTTCCATCATTTAGGGAAATAATTAAGTATACAACGAAATATAATGCAGACACTGATAATTACGCTTAGAAATGTAAGTCAGAAAGAGAGCCTTCCTCAGGAACCGAATCGGCTGGCAGCCTGATCTTGGACTTCCCAGGCTCCAGAGCTGTGAGAAAATAAATTTCTACTGTTTAGGGCACCCAGTCTAGGGTATTTTGCTATGACAGCCCAAGCTGAGTAATATACGCATGTACCCCTCTTAACCCTTGTTAACTTCCAAATTAAGAGCATAATAACATGCAAGTTTCTCCAGTAAATTTTCTGCGTGCAAATCTCCCTATCAGAGTTTTGTCTCCTACATATATGATGAATAAGTCAATGGATGAATAAACGGGGTCACTTTATTTCCCGTGATAACCTTCTTCCCCAAAGAGACTCTCTCTGCATGCTGCCCCAAGCCCTGTGGTTCCAGTTCCTCAGTGGCACTCACGTGGGAGGATGAGAAGCAGCAGAGCTGGGGCAGCCATATGGTCCTGCCTCCCTAGCACCTGTCTTCTCTAAGCATGAAGTGCCAGCTGCCCCCCAGGGACTTGACATCCAGCCCAGAAATAGACACCTAGTCCCTGGTGACACCGCTCTGTACACGTTTTGGCTGTTGCACTAACTTCACTGGGAGACCGTCTGGTCTTTTGCTTGTCTGGGGCAGAAACTCAGGCAGGGCAATGTGTGGGTTGAGCAACACCCCAAGAGCCTGTCGCACCCTGGTTTTGCTGCTGTCTTCCTCCCTGAACTCTGAGCTCTGTGGAAGGAAACTTCTCAGCTCTGGCTGCCAGTCAAGACTAGTTGTGGAGGCTTTTAAGCAATCCAGATGCCTGAGCTCTGCCATGACTCAGTGGGTCTGAGCTGGTACCTGAGCATCTGTGCTCTTTAAAAGTTCATCAAGGATGGATTCGCTCATCAGTTTGTTCATCTGTTTGTGTAGAACAGCCAGGGTTGAAAAACTGTCTTTTAAAGGGGAGCATTTTTTTGTTTTGCTTTTTGTTGGTTTCCCAGCACCTTACATAGAACCTGTGAGATAGCAAAAATTTGGTTTTTATTTAACGAATAAGTGTCTGGATGAATGAATTGGCCCTGCCATGTTCCCTGACATGTCCCCTTCCTTCAGGACACATGCTCTCTGTTTCCTGCCCAGCCTCGGTCATTCCAGTTGCTTAAAGCCCCAGCCCCACTCACCTGGAAGGAAGAGAAGGAGCAGAGGAGGGGCCAGCCACAGGGTCCTGTCTCCCATCCTCAGTGATAACAAGTGCCCAACATCCTTCAAGGACTTGAAGCCAAGGTCAGAAGTGAACGCCCTGAATCTCCTTCAAGATTCGAGTGAAGCTGTTTGAATCTCCTTTGAGTTTCTCTCTCGTTCACTTCCTGTTGTGTCTACACC